CAAATGAGAGTTGCCCGTGTCCCAGAGGAGTCGGGCTGTGCTCCGGGGAAAACCGCCTGCCCTGGATACGGAGCAGGATGGCAGGGACTGGGGGACCCGCGTTACCTTCTCGGGTGACGCTGGAAGCCGCATCCAGGGCTTTGGTGCTGAGGTTGCCCAGCACGTTGTCCACGGTCTGGTGGTGCCTGAGGAAGCAGGGCCGGATGACGTTCTGGTAGAGCACCTGCGACCCGTTCCAGGACACGGGGGCCATGCACCACAGCAGGAACAGGCACTGCGGGGAGGAGAGACGCTCCAGAGCTGAAGATGGCAGGGCAGGGGCTGAGCGAGGCAGCCCCCAGAAGGGGGCAGTGACAGGGCAGCAGCTGAGCTGCTCCATTTCCCCCCCCAGCCTGGCCCAAAGGAAGCTTCCCAAGGCTGGAGCTCGCTGGAGGTACCAGGACCTCAGCTGACTGCAGGGAGCTCTGGATGGAGTGTGGCGCCACCACCACTGCCCTGCTAACAGGACCGAGCCCACCACGCTTGGTTCCTCCAAGTTCAGCCATCAGGTGAGGGGACTTTGGCCCTCGCAGTCCCCAGCGAAGCCGTTACCTTCCCAGCGTAGTAGAAGGGGAACCAGTAGAGGAAGGTGTCGGAGAAGAACTCGGCTATGCTGAAGACGCCGTACACCACCCAGTATGTCAGCCACGTGGTGTCATCCTCCTTGTTGGAGCTCTCGATGGCTTTGATGCTGTGGCAGGAGAGGAGAAGGGGGCTGCTGCTGCAGTCCTGCTGCCAGGGTGGGCACCTCCTTCCCAAGTCCTCCAAACCCTGGAGCAAACCTGCCTGCTGCGTGCTGCTGCCCCAAGCTGGGACCGTGCCAGGTCTCAGCATTTTCAGGAAGGTCTCGAGAGCTTCCCAACCATAATTGCCTGTTCGTTTTGAGGGGAGACCCTCAGCTAAGGGCAGGGAACGCTCTCAAGGTGCGGCAGGGAGGCTGTGCTGGGACACTGGTACTTACGAGACGTATGCGGGGTAGGCGAAGCCGATGAGGTTGCAGAGCAGCGAGGCGCCATAGCCGAACACAAGGGACAGCCCCAGGAATGCACCAGAACCTGCCGGGAGGGAAACAGTGAGGGCGGTCACGTACCTGCCAACACTGAGATGGTGAGGAGAGACCCCAGCTCGGTCTGCTGAGCGGGTTTTTTATCCCCGTAGTAAGAAGAGGTGCATGCTGGGACCCTCCAGTTGGGAATAACGACCACCTCCAATTAATTCCAGTATGACCCTCCGCACACCAGACCACTGAGGCGCTCAACAAGCCACCAGTGCAGTCGCAGTGAGCCACGGCACGTGGCAGAGTCTGTCGTGGAGTGCAGGCACTCACTCATCCCCGAGGGAGCCACTCTCGTCACTGTTTGTCCCCTCCCTGGCCTGGAAGGGACTTCACCACAACAAACTCGCAGCATTTTTGACCTGTCACCAGCCTGGACCCGGGCCAAGGCTGCGGGGACGTCGGAAGTGGAGACTTTAACACACACCTACAGTCCAAAGTTAAGGCACTGAGCTTCTCCTCCGCGCGCGGGGCTCAGAGCCACTTGGCATTTTAATAACGACCGTTCAAGGACAAGCCTTGCTACCGGAGCCAAGCGTGCGGGAGCAGCCTTGCTGCCAGAGCCTGTGCCTCCTTTCTGCTCCCCGTACACATCTCCTGCACGTGCAGCCACTGTTCATTAAGGATTCGGTCCCCTGAGAACCAGAAATCCAATCCCGCTTCCCTGTTATTAAATTAAATCATTAAAATTAAATGTAAGCCGAGGCTTTGGTTGTTTGGAGCATGCCCAGCCCTCAGACGCTTGCAGGAGGCAGGATCGGCAGAGCTGGGAGAGCCGGCAGATGGGGGAAGCCGGGGCAAGGAGCCCTTGGTGCCGAAACCACGGCCACAGCGAAAAGCCCTCGCTCACATGCAGGCTCAGAGGGCCCAGCGGTGGCAGGACCCAGCAGCTCCCTCCCAACCTGCCTCAGGCAGCTGAAACACAGCCCCCGAAGGGGCAAAGGGCAGGAAAGCTGCCCGGGGACACGCAGAGCCGGAGTTGAGGGCATTTACTGTCACAGCCCAGCAGCATTTCCCCTCCCTGCATACAAACTCCTCCATCAACACAAGCGCCTTGCCCTGCCGCAGGCAGGACAGCCGGGACTTAACCTGTCCGTACGGGTGAATTAGAGGAAAGCCCTTGCTCGGGCTCAGAGGACGGATTATCCCCACTCCGCTCAGTGCAGCATTTCTGTGCCCTGCTCTGGCCCCCGGTGCGGCACGGCCACAAGCTCCGGGCACAACCAGGGCTTCGGGTCCTTCCCAGGAAACGGGCAGGAGCAATACAGCTTCGGAGCAATCACAAACCTCCCTTCAAGGAAAACTAACAGGCAGGTTCGGGCAGCGCTGGGTGTCCTTCCCCCAGGAGCCTGAGAAGGGATTTCACGGGCTATGTTTAGCCCCCAGAGAAATTTATGTAACAGCAAAAAAGGGAGTGAAAGGTTTCACTTACAAAGAAAAACTGCTGAGGGGGGTGGCTGGAGCCATCCCACGGTGCCTGTCCTGGCAAGGAGGGCAAGCAGCCGGCATGACAGCCAGCCCCGTGCCTTGGAAGGGGACACTGACCTCCTCCTCGATGGTTTTTACCCAGCCGAAGCCACCGCGCGGCTGGCCTGGCTGGGCTGCCCAGAGGACGAGCAAAATGGGCTCCCAACTGTGGCCCGTGGGTCGCTACTGGGTTCAAACACAAATTAGGAATTGCTCCAGAGCTAGGGGAAGGAGAAATCGGGTATTTTTAGTTTAGCAGCAGCTTCTCCTTTCCAGGACAGGGACTGAGAACAGGGGACCATCGCTCGTCGGTGGCAGCGATGCCTCCGCTCTGCCCCTACCCCCAAAAGTCCATCGCATCCGAGCACCACCAAAGCCGCGGGACCATTGTGCTCGGAAGACACCCGGCCACCACACACCGCATCCAAACACAACCCGCTCACAGCGCCATGTGCCCGTTCACAGACCCCTTTCCCCCTCGGAGCGGGAAAAGCATCCCTGCAGCAGGCAAAGGGCTGGGAAACCGCACCAGGAGGCGAAAGGCAGGGGAGCGCCCGGCAGGACGCGGGCAACTGGGGAACCTTGAGCCCCTCCTGGGAGGTTTTATATAAAATAATGAATCGGAGAAGGTGGACGGGCAAGTTGTAAATTGGCAGAGAGCGGCACGGGGCCAAGGGTCAGAGCCGCAGCGGGGAGAGAGGGGTCACGTCGTGCCAGGAGGCCGCTCCCCGGGGAGATGCCGGCTGGTTTCTCATTAATGAGCGAACAGGATCTCGTTAACAGCCGGACCTCTGCCCTCAGACAGGCGCTCCCGTCCCCAGTGCGCAGTCTGACCCGCTGCGTTTCGGGGGGCTGGCCTGTCGGGGAACGGGGGGACCCCCCCCCCCGCCCCCAGGGCCAAGGCTTATCGGGGGTCTTGAGGATCCGGCCGGGACCTCCGAC